GTTCTGAAATTTTATTGTTAATCTTCTGGATTTCTGATTGCTGTCTCTCTATGGATTCTTGCAGCCTGTTAAATTTGTCATTATGCTCTTCTCTAATCTTTTCAATTTCCTCTATTGCATGTTCTGTGTTTTGCTTAATTGCTTTCCTGATATCTCGACGAGTTCTGTATATTAATCTTTTGTATTCTGCCTCTGGTAATTCCAAGAAATTTTCCTCTTCTGGAAGATTTCTAGATTCTTTATTTTTGGAGCTTGTTGAAGGCATCATGGATTGCTTCTTTATGTGATTTGATATTGACTGTTGTCTCCGAGCCATCAATACGTTATTATATTTACTTATTTTATGTTTGCTTACTGTGTCCTAGCTTCTTGTTTTGTTTTGATATGCCTAAATAGGCTGCTTGTGTGTGTTAGTATGATTATTGGCACCTTTGAAGCTCTAACGTCCTGTCGCCAGGTGGTTAGATCTGTTGCTAGGTATGTGAGCTCAGGAGTCTGCCCACTCCCCCTTTATGGATTCAGCTCAGGTGCCCAGGTAGATAGCCACCAAGTGTGTGGTGTAGGCTCTCAGTTACAGTCCTAGACAGGCATGGGTGATTGGTTTAGGCACAGGCATCTGGCTGCAGCATGGGGACACACTCAGAGCAAGACAGGGGGCTGATGGCTGCCCTCGAGTGTCCAGGTAGATGGCGTGTCCTTGTTCCCTAGAGTGTGTAGGTGAGTGAGTGAGACTATGAGCACATAATGCTGTTGGCTGTAAGGACTGGGTGGCCCCTCTTATTCATGGGTCCCTCTTGCAGGTGGCCAGGTGGCATGGGTGGAGCCACCAGTCCTCAGACCCCTGGTGTGAGTAGGTGAAGACCCTGTTTAATGGGCAGAGCAGTGTCAAATGTCAAGAACCTGCCACCTCACAGCTGAAACAGTTGAAGTTAGAGGTCCGGTATATACCTGTTGTACTGCAGTAATGAGGGCCTACGCTGCTGAAACGGGCCCACACAAGTCTACTCAGGGGGAAAGGCACTCAAAGTCTGTGGATCCCTTATGCCTGTGCCTAGGCAAAGGAGCTGTGCCTGCCCTGGGTTACTGGCTTAGGGGAGCTGGCACTTTATTTTTTCCCCTATTTGTTAATTAGTTCACTCTCCAAAGCAGGGAGAATGGCTCTGGGCGTGTGATGGATCCTACTTCCGGCCCAGGGGACTCGGCAATTGCTGAAGCCGGTTCAGGACCCAGTGCAGAACAGGGAGCAGGGAGGTAGATGGGAGAAAGGTTTTTCCATAAGGGGGGTGTTTTTGATCCCTGTGGTAGGCCGTACGCAAGCACTTATCTTTCGCCAGTCCAGGGCTGCTTCTCTCTGGTTCTGGGTGACCATGTAGACTCTCTGGAACTGGATCACTCCCAGTGCAGAAACCGTGCCTCCCAAGAACCGCTGCTTGCCTGCCTCACTGCTCACCCCGGAACTGCTCAGGCCTGAAGGACTCAGGCTTTCACCAGGTCAGGTCTGGCAATTCTTCACTGCTTGTGAACCGTCTCTCCCTCCCCTGGCCACTCAGTCCGGTTCCTCAACTCTGCCTTTGATGTTCAGGGCTCCCAGATTGCCATATATAAGTGATTCACTTGTTTCTTCGGGTCTTTGTTGTAAGAGGGTCCACCGAAGCGTCTAACTACTCTGCCATCTTGGCCCCACCCCCACATTTTCCTCTACTTTACCAAGTATGATGTCCTTCTCCAGGGGCTGGTCCTTCCAGATAACCTGTTCAAAATAAGTGAGACAAAGTCTCCCAATCCTCACTTCTAAGGAACATTCTCGTTGTACTTCTTCAAAGACAGATTTGTTCATTCTTCTGGTAGTCCATGGTATATTCAATATTCTTTGCCAACACCATAATTCAAATGCATTAATTCTTCTCTATCTTCCTTATTCATTGTGGGCATGGGGGGTGGGCATCCCAAATATTTCTTTCTACTGCCTTTGAAAGATGCTACACTGTGCATGGAGTTGAACTGCACAGTAAAAGATCTTCTGGAATAGACACAGGCAGTTGCTGGCAAAGTTCTCAGAACAGCCCAAGCAACCCAGGTGCAAACATCATGAAAGGACAGGTTTCTTTAACCTATTTGTTATAGATTGAATTACGTTCTGCAAAAAGTTATGTTGGAATCCTAACCCGTATACCTGTAAATTTAACCCTGTTTGGAAATAGGGGTTTTCTTTTGTTATATTAATGAGTTCATGTAAGAGCAGGGTGGGTCTTCAACCTAATCTGTCCTGCATCATCTCTTATAAAAAGAACAGATTAGACACAAACACACAGAGGGAGACACCATGTGATGAAGGAGGTAGATGCATCTATAAGCAATAAAGGAACCCCAAGGATTTCTGGCAGCCACCAGAAACTAGGAGAGAGCCCCACAGAAGGAAATGACATGGCCCAGACCCTGATTTGGATGTTCAGCCTCCAGAATTTTGAGAACTAAATTTCTGTTCTCTAAAGTCACCCACTTTGTGGTATTTTGTTACGGAAGCCGTAGGAAACTAAAACACCCTCTAATATAATTTTGGTGTGTGGTGTGAGGGAGGGATCTGACTGCTGCTTAGGGTCTTTCTGGAGGTGGAGCCCCACCACACACCTGGATTCCTCACTGCCTGTCCTCTGTGCTCTCTCTCTCCTGGGAGCTCGTCCAAAGATAAAAGAGTAGAGTGAGCAATGCTAGGGTTATTGTTCTTCTAATCACAGAGGAGTGTCTGTCTCCTATACTGACTTTCTCTAAACAGCTCCACTTTCTGATGAGCAAATCACAATGCTTCCCACCCCCCACTTAAAATTATGTGGTGGTGTTTTTGTTGGGTGTCATTGAGTCGATTTAGACTCATAGCGACCCCGCATAACAGAGTAAAACCGCCCCATAGGGTTTTCTTGGCTGTAATCTTTATGGGAGCAGATCTCCAGGTCTTTCTCTGCAGAGCTGCTAGGTGGGTTAGAACTGCCAACCTTTTGGTTAGCAGCCAAGCACTTAACTATTTGTGCCACCAAGTCTCCTTTGAAATTAGGTAGAAGTATTTAAAAAATTTACTTCAATTTTTTTTTGAAATGTTCACAAGTAGGCAGCATGGAAAAGGGTACCAAAACAGGTGCAAAGATGATCAGAACAGTTTAAATGATCTTGGTGTGTCTGAAATTTGCTAAATAACCATTCAATAAATAAACTTTACCTGCAAATGTATCATCTTATTCTATCACTGGGCCCTTCTAGAAGCCAGGAGTGCACAGAGGGGTGATGAGTTTAAAAATAAGGCTGGCCTCCCACTATCAGACTGATAAGACCTACGCACCCAAGACCTCTTCATCGACAGGGATGACAGCTAGGAGGGGTCATTCTACTTGGCTGGAGTTGAGTTTGGGAGGAGGAGCAAGCAGAGTTAGAAGGATCAGCAAGTGCTTGAGGTGGAGCCAAAACCAAATCAACAATAAAATTGGCTACCAAAAATCTTAAGGAGCTCTGGTAGCACAACTGTTAAGCACATGGTTGCTAACTGAGAGGTTGGTAGTTCAAACCAGGTTGGTAGTCTGAACCTGCCCAGAGGCTCCATAGAAGAAAGATCTGGCAATCTGCTCCTGTAAAGGTTACAGCCTAGAAAACCCTATGGGGCAGTCCTACTATGTCACATGGGGTCTCTATGAGTTGAAAATCAACTCGAAGACACCTAACAACAACACCAAAAACCAGGCCTTGTGCTAAGGGTTTTACAAAGCAGGGAGGGAGTGGGATGCAGAGCAGAAAGGAGAGTGAATGGTCTTTGGCAGGAGAAGGGATGCTGCTTCCATTGTAAGCTGCTACCATTATTATTGTCATTGATATTTTTGTTGTTGCTGCTGTGTAACTTCTTTAATTATCAGCACAACTCTGTGAGTTAGGTGATATTATCATCATTTCACAAGGTGGGAAACCAGAGTTCTGAGACAGGAAGCAATCTGCCCAGAACTGCCAGCTGGAAGGGTAGAGCCAGGATGGTCATCTCTTCCCAGCATTCCTGCCTCTACGTCACTGGCGCTGTGTGGAAAACATCAGGCCAGTCTGCAACCAAAGTTACTGCGCTTTGTATCTCACATTCCTTTGTTAAACCCTTAGACCTATGGAACTAGAGGTCCCTTCTCTCCTTCCTGATTCTCTTGTTCAGATCGAGAGGCAGAGGTACTCAGGAAATAAGAGCCCGATGTATGGCTTGGACACTCCTAAACCTGACCATCTCCTCTTTTTTCCCCAGGGCCTGGGCTTCAGCATTGTCGGGGGAAAGGACAGCATTTATGGCCCCATTGGAATTTACGTCAAAACGATCTTTGCAGGGGGAGCAGCAGCAGCCGATGGAAGGCTCCAAGAAGGTAGATTTCCCAACCCTTTCCCATCCCAGATTGATGTTTGAGGAACCAAGAGCAGAACTGCTGGACCGTAGAAGACATTGGGAATGCGAAATGTGGCTTGAGTCTTCAGAACACTGCTGGCATGGATTCTGGGGTCTGCAGGTGCTCTGCTGATGGCTCTGTCATGACTGGCACATCGACTGTGTGTGTTTGCACAGTCAATCCTGACACCACTACAGCTGTCTCAGCTTCTGTCACCAGCCTGGGGCTGGACACTGAAGTGTCTGTTCCCTTCATTTTCACTGCTGTCATTTACTTTCTCTTGTTGCTGGGATCCATTGAAATCCTCTTTCTTTTTTCTCTTTGCCCTCCCAAATACACAATCATGGGAGAACTGGGTCCAGTGCTTTGAACAGATGAGCTTCACCAACATTCTCTGAGAATCTACTGAGTTCTAGGCCCAAGGAATACAGAAAGGAATCAGACATGATCCCTGTTTTTGAAGAGCTCATGGTCTGCCCAGCTGTCTGCCCTTCTCCTCTGCCCGCCTTCCCCTCAACTATGTCCTCCTAGCTCTTCGCAGGAAGGAAGCACCTGGCCACCCTGGGAGCGAGGGTCCTGGGGAGCAGAGCTTCCTCACAAGTGCCTGTCCCTGTCTTCTCCTAGAGGGTCAGGGTTTCCTTCCCCCAGACCCCAGCTCCATCCCAAAGCCATGTTTGGATACTTGGGCAATAGGCTTGGTACAGGGAAATCTCTAGGCTTCAGCACAGGAGGCAAAGTTTAGGGACCGGCAGTGGTGGAGCAGAGGGCAGCCACTGTAGGTCAGGGACAGTTTACACATTGACATTAAAAACAAGTGATTTCACAGAGTTCCCACTCTCTCTGTCAGGCCAGTTTCTGTAAGCCAAGCTGGGAATCTAATGCTTTCGTCAGGGTATTCTGGAAAAACATAACCAGTGTGTGAGAGAGAGATGATAAGTAGATAGGTAGACAGATAGATAAATAGATGATAGATAGATGGGTAAGAGAGAAAGAGGGAGGAAAGGAAGGAAAGAGAGAGAAAGATTGATTTATTTTAACAATTAGTTCAGGTGATTGTAGGCACTGGCAAGTCCTAAATCTGTAGGTCAGGTGACAGGCCAGAGAATCTTACAGGCTTGTGTCCCAAAACCCATAGATGAGACTACAAGAAGAGTGAAGAGTAAGAGTGTTCTGGCAAAATGTCTGAGTATAGTCTGGAAGTAGAATACACCCTAGGGAAACTCCCTTTTTACTCTTAAGGTCTTCTGATTGATTCTGGCCCACCCACATTATGGAAGGTAATCTGCTTTACTTGAAGCCAACTGATTTAATCACATGTAATTACTTTATGGAGCCTTGGTGGCACAATGGTTAAGAGCTCAGCTGCTAACCAAAAGGTCAGTAGTTCAAATCCACTGGCCTCTCCTTGGGAACTCTATGGGACAGTTTCACTCTGTCCTATAGAGTCGCTCGCCATGAGTCAGAATCGACTCTACGGCAACAGGTTTCGTTTTTGGTTTAATTACTTTATATCAGCAACCAGACTAGTGTTTTACCAAACTACCGGGCACCATAACCTAGCCAAGTTGACATAGAAAATTAACCATCACACCTAATCACGTTTAATCACCTAAATTGATGAAGGCAGGAGTTAGCAAACTATGGCCTATGGGCCAAATACAGGCCACTGCTTTGTACTGCTAAGGACTAAGAATGGCTTGTAATTTTTTTAATGGTTAAAAAAAATTGAAAGAGGAGTAATACTATGTGATACATGAAAATTAAGTGAAATTCAAATTTCAGTGTCCATTAGCAAGCTTTACTGGAACATAGCCATGCATATTGTCTGTGGCTGCTTTGGTGGTATAGCAGCAGTGCTGAATAGTTACAACAGAGAGTGTATAACCTGCAAAGTCTAAAATATTTACTATCTGTCCCTTTACACAAAAAGTTTGTCAACTCCAACATTATGGAGGATTTTATCCTTACGGATTTTACTATGTGGGCAGTGGGGGGCCAGTGAAGGTTTAAGGAATATGGGAAGGACCAGCTATGACCAGGAATTTTAGGTGATATTATAGGAAGCTGAATGTAGAATAAAGTGGGCTGGCAGGAGACAGGAAGCAGGAAGCAGGAAGCAGGAAGGCTAGTTAAGAGTCTATTGTAAAAGCCAGGCACCAGCTCCTAAGGGCCTGGTCTGGAGCAGTAATGTTGGGAAGAGAAAGGGGCAGATAGGAGAAGGGACAGAACTTGAACCTAAGTGGAGGTGAGAAATGAGGGACTGGTCAGAGAAGACTTGCAAGTTTTCAACTTAGTAAACTAGAGAAAAATAATGTGTTACACAAGGTAAGAGGCAGAGGAAGAGGAGGAAAAGGAGGGAAAGGGGAGGAGGGCAAGGAGGAGGTTTAGGTTTGAGCAGCAGAGTGGAGGGTGAAGTATCGAGGCGACCACTAGATGGAGCTGTGCAGCAGACAAATGAAAATTTGGGCAACAGCTCAGGAAGGGGGTTAGGGTTGAATTTTAGGGTCTTCAACATTTGGAAAATAGCTGAAGGCATAGAGTGAATGAAGGATGGTAGAGAGCAGAGAAGAGGACTGAGGCTCAGTTTTAGGGGAATAGCTTAATCAAGAGGCAGGTAGAGAAGAGAAATTAATGAGAGAAAGGAGGAAAAATAAGATGAGAATCTGGAGGCCATGCCATCATTTGTTTTATTATCTTTTGTACTTTTCTGCATATAAACAAGGATGCGGGAGTGGTTGAGGTGGAAAGTAAAGAGAGTATTGTGCTTTGTTTTCTTTCTCAAGAGCAAGGGTTCCCAAGCCATTGTTTTTTATTATTTTCTCTGGGTATTTGTCCCTTAGTTAATTGCAATTATAAAAATAGAGAATTTCAGTGAGCTAAAAGAATTCAGCTAGTCTAGAATTCCTAACTCTTGCCTCAAAAAATTAATCAAATTACCTTTTGTAACACTTTTTAAAAGTAACATTTTAGAATCTGTCCCTGAGTTCACAGGGTTTATATCAGTTGTCACAAAAGTTTGTTGTACAGATCGGGGCTAATACTATTTCATTTTTATTTCCCTTCCAAAAAGTGATCTTGTAAGTTTTATTTGGCAAAACCTAGGTTAATTAGATTTTACCAGATAGGGACGAATAAGGATAAGGACACTCTGTAAAGCCCAGAGGCGGGTTATGTGGGCCCGTGAGGACGGACATCCTAATAACTTGAAGAAAAGTTCAGCTTCTTCTGTAATTAAGAATGGACATCTCTGAAATATGTTCTTTTTATATCCTCCTTCTCCACACATTTAATTATATTGCGTTTCTTTTTAAAATGAGTGTGTTTTTGCTCCTAGACTTGGACTCTCTCAAAGACCAAGACTAGGTCCCTTCATTTTACACCCTGATTTCAGCAATCTAATAGATTGAGCTGATTTGAACCCTTCCCCACACTAAAATGCTATATTTCCGTAGACATGCAGGATAAAATATCATATTTGAACTCAAAAGAAAGAAACTAAAATTCCCAGGAGCTAGAAAACAAAGAAAGGACTTTAAATCTAGTGTGATAAATTCATGAGTTGATGATGTCGTGGCCCAGAGGGCTGCAGAAATGTTTATAGCCATAGGAGCCAGGGGCTACGGGCTAGGATTTGAATTTCCACACAAGTGCAGGGGACATGGCCTTGGGTCTATGTGAGGTTGTAAGAACCCACATGAAACCTTGATCTTGAAAGAGCTGCCCCTAATGAAAACCAATAGGTTCCAAGGAAGTATCAAAGAAGCTTAACTCTCCCCATGGCTCTTGGAAAGGGAAAAATCACCTCCCACAAGAACATGAAGACCCAAGCCTGTATCATACATGGGTATGGAAGCCACATTTATAGTCCCTGTAGAGAACAGGAAACTCCAAGCTGAGAAATTAATGTTAAAATTAGTCTTGAACCAGTGAAACACTTGGGGTACCTAGTAGAAATAAAGGAAAAACTATTTGGTAGTAACTGGTGGTATATGGGATTCCCACAGAAAACAAACTCACATGAAAAATGAGCTTGCAATAAAATATTACATACTATATTAGTAAATGCCCACTATTGGGATAGGGCTGGCAGAAATAACAGAAAGGAATATTAGCCCTCAAAAACTTAAGATAAAAGAATAATCTAAAAGAGACTATAGAATCAGTATGTTTAAAATTATTTTTAAAAAGATTTTAAAAAAGGATATAAGCTATAAGGAAAGAACAGCGTACAGCGTACAATGAAAAAATAGGTAGATGTGAAAAAAACTTAAAAATTAAAAAAAGTATACTCATTGAAATTAAAAAACTTAATGGATGTGTTAAACAGCAGATTAGATGTGACTGTAAGGATAACTAGTTATCTGGAAATTATTCAGTCTGCCACACAGAGCAATAGAGAAGAAAAAGCATTAAAGAAACATGGGGAAGAAGTGGAGAAGGTCCAAAATACATCTAATAGGAATTCAATGAAGAAAGAGTGAATAAAAAAGAGGCAATATGCAAAGAGATAGTGGCTTAGAATTTTCCAGTATTGATTTAAGGCATGAAAGTTCAGCTTGAGGAAACACAAAAAGCTTCCTGCAATGCTAGCACATCATAGTGAAACTGCAAAATATCAAAGACAAAGAAAAAATAAACAACTTAAAAGCAACCAGAGAAAAAGGATGGATATTGTCTTAGTTATCTAGTGCTGCTATAACAAAAATACCACAAGTGGGTGGCTTTAACAAACAAATTTATTTTCTCACAGTTAGGAGGCTAGAAGCCTGAATTCAGGGCACCAGCTCCAGGGGAAGGCTTTCTTTCTCTGTTGGCTCTGAGGGAAGGCCCTTGTCTTTTCAGCTTCTATTCCTTGGCCCCTTGGTGACCGTCATGTGGCGGGGCGTCTATCTTCCTCCATCTCTGCTTGCTCACTTACCTGTTTAATCTCTTTTACATTGCAAAATAGATTGACTTAAGACACACCCTACACTAATACTATCTCATTAACATAACAAAAAAGCCCATTCCCAAGTGGGCTGTGACTACAAGTATAGAGGTTAGGATTTCCAGCACATATTTTGGGGGACACAATTCAATCCATAACAATTACGTACAAGGGGATGAAAGTTAGGTAAAAGCACATCTCCCCAACAACAATCAAATCCAGAAGTCAGTGTGAAAACAGTGTTTGCATCCAAAGTATCTAGCACAGTTTTGAGCACAGAAAAATTGTTCCCTAATTGTGTATTGAATAAATTGAATGAAAGAGAGAAATTGGGTTTCCATCCAGGTAAAACAAGATTTGTGGATACAGAAAACATTATCATCACATGGATATAGGTTTACAAAGAAAGGACTTGGGGTCAAAGATCCCAAGTCCTAATTATCTTTTACCATATGAGCTTGGGCCTCTCTGGGCTCACTTTCTTTTTCTGTAAAATGGGGCCTACGCTGCATTCTGGAAACACCACATCGACCCACATTTATTAAGCACTTTGTAGGCCCCACACAGAATTGGCCCTGGGAATATATCAATTAATAAGACAAAGTCCTTGTTCCCAAGGAGCTGCCAGCCTGGTAGGGGAGAGACTTTCAAGGTCCTCAGTCACTATCCAGGGTGACAAGTGCTATGACAATGGTAGGTACAGGGTGCCAGGAGAAGACAAAGGAGACGAAAGCAGCAGGGGCCGAACGATTAGGAAGAGGCAGGTGAAGTAGGCAGGAAAAGTACACTTTAGTTGAGAAAATATCTCAGAGCAAGCATTTAACTGTGTAGGCCATTGTGGAAAAAGGCAGATGGTGGTTGTATCAGAAAATGATCCACCACAACAAATGGTGAGAGGGCTGGGGGGCAGGAGGAAAGGAGGTGAAGCAAAGAGCTGGGCAGGGACAAGATGACGCCAGGCCTGGTTGCCTGGCTAAGAATCCTGGATCTTATTCTGAAAGATAAGAGGTGCCGGGGAAGGCCCATCATCGCTATCCTGCCTGCCTCCCGGGGAGTGAGCACTGAATGAGAAAATGTTCTTCAAAGTGTTTTGCACATGCATGAAAAGCTGGGCAGGTTTGGGAGACTAGAGTTCACGGTAAGGATAATGCCCCTTGATTGGGCAACATTCTTCTTAGCTACAACTTCTCTCTCTCTCAACAGGTGATGAAATTCTGGAACTCAATGGTGAATCAATGGCTGGGCTAACACATCAGGATGCTCTGCAGAAATTCAAGGTGACTGTTCCTTATCAACATGTGGCCAAACTCTGGGGTCTTCAGGCAAATGGACCAAGCTCCCAGCATCACCCTCCTTCATTCAAGCCTACGAATTCAGAATGTGGGATCCTTTACATGGGACATCTAGCTGATGATGATCTCGCACAGTGTTAAAAAAACTTAGCAAGAAACTAATAATCAGGATTGTAATCAAGATTGTTGTAGGGGATGTTTAAAGAATTTACAATTTACAGAACTGTTTTAAAACACTTTATGTATTCGTATTGCTATATTTATTGATTTTCTTTAAATTTTTAAGCCAATTCCCAATATATATTTTTGAGTCTCCATCTAGTAAATTCAAGACTCTGTCTGTCTGTCTATGTATCTATCTGGTATAAATACGTATATGTACATATATAGCACATATGCATATTTTTTATCATACATGTGTATATGTATGTATGTATTTAAGCACACGCACGCGCATACACACACACACACGGCTGCATTTCCTTAAGACGTATTTGACTACTGTTATTGATGGAGGCCAGGCTTCCCCTGAATTGCTGCTGAAGTTTCTAACACTGTCTCTTTTCCTTTCAGCAAGCCAAAAAGGGGCTCCTCACCCTCACAGTGCGCACGCGTCTGACGGCTCCCCACTCCCTGCCCAGCCACCTGTCTCCGCCACTGTGCCGCTCCCTGAGCTCCAGCACCTGTGCCACCAAGGACAGCAGGCCCTTCACCGCAGAAAGCCCCATGGCTCCCGCCAACACTGCCAAGCCCAATTACAGAATCATGGTGGAGGTGTCTCTGGAGAAAGGTAGGAGTGCTGGCCTTCTGGCCTGAGCAGGCTCTGTCCACCCTCCTCCACTCTCGGCCTGGGTCTCTCTCTGCTGCGTCTCGGAGCCTTTCGTCATTTGGAATCAGTTCAGGGGCAGGGCCGGTAAACCCGTTGCCATCGAGTTGATTTCGACTCATAGCGACCCGATGGGACAGAATAGAACTGCCCCATAGGGTTTCCAAGGCTGTAATCTTTACAGAAGCAGACTGCCACATCTTTCTCCATGGAGCGGCTAGTGGGTTTGAACTACCAACCTTTTGGTTAGCAGCTGAGCGCTTAACCACTGCACCACCAGGCTCCTTAGCGGCAGGCAGGCATTGTCTTGACTAGGCTTGGCTACAAGTTCTCGTCCTCTGTTTCTTTATACAAGCCAGGCCAAACAAGCCAAACCCAGTCACTGTGTTCTGAAGCAAAATATAAATCGTGTACAAAACTACATACACACACACAGACACAAAGACACACATGCACAGACACACACGCACAGACACACACACAAAAACACACACACACACAGACACACACACACACAGACACACACACTCAGAAATATGAACAATGGGCCAGCCATTGTAGCTCTGCTGCTAATATGCTAAGCAATCGTGGGCAAGTGCCTTCCCCTCTCTGGGCCTCTGTTTTCTTATCTAGGGAGTAAGCAGGGAGGTCCTTTGTAGCTGTGACCTTCTGGGATCGATATCCATTTCCTTTGCCACCCTCAGGTGGACTGCTAATCCAGGGGGCTAGGGAGACCCTCTCTGCCCAAGTGTGGCTGAGCTGAGTGACCTGAAGGACGAAGAGGAGGCAGCTAGGGGCAGAGCACATATAAAGGTCCTGCGGCAGGAACATGCTATGGAGTATGTGAGGAGCAGAGGGAAGGCCAGTATTGAGAGAGCAAGGCAAGCAGGATGACAGGTGCTGTGGGAGCATTTGGCCAACTCAGGTCCTGTGGGACTTTGCAGTTAGACTTCCTTCTAATTGAGCTTGGAGGTCCTTTAAGGATTTCCAGCACATACTTTAAAATAGGTCTGCTCGTTTTCTCTATGGAAAATGGACTGTGCGTGGCATGCAAAAAGCAGAAGCTTGGAAACAGCTGTAGCAGTTCAGGTCACAGAGGAGGGCTGGAATGGAGATGGAAGTGGATGCATCTGAGATATATTTCAGAAGTGGGATCAAGAGGATGTATAGTTAATTCCTTGGATAGGGCTTTAAGGAGCCCTGGTGGTGCAGTGGTTAAGCACTCGGTTGCCAACCAAAAGGTCAGCAGTTTGAGCCCACCAGCTGCTCTGCAGGAGAAAGATGTGGCAGCTTCCATAAAGATTTACAGCCTTGGAAACCCTACAGGGCAGCTCTACTCTGTCATACAGGGTCACTGTGAGTCAGAATCGACTTACCAGCAACGGGTTTGGTTTTGGATTGGGCTTTGTCTTATGCATGCATGTCTTAGCTCCCTGCTATACTGCACGTTCTTTGAGGGACTACATGGCCTCATACATCACTATGTGCCTCAGAGCCTGGCATGGTGCTTGGCATAAACGCTTGGTGCATACAGGTCTGTGCTGTCCAGGGTCAACAGGTATATTAGGTGCGCCAAAGTGAGGTAAGGCACAGAACGCAGGGAAGACACAGCTTTTGTCCTCTACCTGCTGGGCTCCCTGGGGTGGGGGGTTGACACAGCACTGGTCTTGAGTAGTATTTCCACTGATCACTGGCATCAGAAACACCTCAACCAGTTGCTGTTGAACTAGTTTTGATTCATGGCGACCCAGTGTGTGTCAAAGTAGAACCGTGCTCCATAGCGTTTTCAATGCCTGTTTTTTTGGAAGTAGATTGCCAGGTCTTTCTTCCAAGGCACCTTTGGGTGGACTTGAACTTCCAACCTTTTGGTTAGCAGCCGAGCAGTTTAACAGTTGGCACCACCCAGGGACTCCAGCAACACCTTAGGGAAGGTCTTTTGTTTTGTATAATACAGCTTCTTAGACTCTACTTCCAGAGACTGTATTCAACAGTTTTAGGGAAGAGGCTGAGGGATCTACATTTGAAAGAGTATCCCCAGGCAATTCTGAGACCCACTGGGATTAAGAACTTTTGCTCCAGAGTCAGGGAACCTGGGTTCCGTGAAGGGCTCTGACCTTTGTTCGTGGGCTCTGTCACAGCCAGAATTCTTCATCCACACCATGGGGCTAACAATTACTCACGGCCTCCCTCATGGGACTCTTGGGAAGACCAGCATCAGAAGGTAAAACTGTATGTGAAAGTGCTTTGTAAATGATGAATTGCCGGAAAAACAAAACAAACAAAAACCATAAAGGCCTTTCTCTTCCTCCCTGGCAACTCCATTTAGTCCTCTTGCTGGCTGCTTCTCAGTTTTCAGAACTTTCTCTGTTGGCAAACCCAGGCCCCCCTCTTCAAAGACTCTGGGGAATCCCATCAGCCCCATGGCACTAATACTGCATATATACTGCTACTTTCAAACTTTAACTTCTGCCCTCCCCCTTCCCTGGGTTCCAGATTCCTCTATCCAACTGCCTACTCCAGAAGTCCATTCAGATACCTCATGGGCATCTCAAGTGTAACTTGGGCAAACCCAAGCTCTTGTCCCCCACCCCCCTAATCCTGCTCCCCCACCAACATTTCCACTTCGATAAACTGCATCATCACCGACCCACTCACTCAAGCCAAAAAATATCTCTTTGATTTTCCCACATTTAATCCATCAGTAATTCTATCTCCAAGATATACTCCATGCATATTCATTTCTCTCTGTCTTCTCCTGTAGTGAAGGCCAAGCCACCATCGTGTTGTTCAACAGTAGCCTCTTAACTGGTCTCCTTGTGCCCATTCTTATAGTTTTTTCTCCTCACAGCAGCCAGAGTCACATATTTAAAAATAAAAAGTAGATCATATCACTCTCTTGTTCAAAACTCCTCCATGGCATCCCGTCTCCACGTAGAGTAACATCCTTTGACAGAGATGGCCTTGTTGACAAAGCCCCATTTAACCAGGCCCTTGCCTCCCTCTCCTGCATCATCTCATGCCATTGTCCTTGTGACCAGCTATGTTTTGACCACACTGGCTTCCTTTCTGGTCCCGTACCACCTCTGCTTATTCTTGTTCTCATTATCTGTTTCCTCTTCTGGGAATGTCCTGCCCCCATCTCCACATCCCTGGCTCCTTCTCATCCTCCATATTTCAGGTATGTTCCCTCCTCTGAGGTAAAATCCCATAATCGTCTAGAATATTCCCCATAATATTTATCACTTTCTGCTATCTTCCTCTCTCCCTCCCTCCCTCCTCTTTTCCTTCCTTCCTCCCTCCTTCTTTTTTCATTTCCTCCCTCTCTTCTTTTCTTCCTTCCTTCCCCCACTTGAACTTAAGATCCCTGAGAACCTTGTCTGTTACTGTTGTTGAACCTAAGGCAGTGCCCTCCCTACACACAGTTAAAAAAAAAAAGAAAAAAATCAGTTGCCATCGAGTCGATTCTGATGCGTGGCGACCCCTTGTGTGTCAGAGCAGAACTGTGCTCCATAGGGTTTTCAGTGGCTGATTTTTCCAAAGTAGATCACTAGACCTTGCTTCTGAAGCACCTCTGGGCAGACTCAAACTTCCAATCTTGGGTTAGTAGCTGAGCATGTTAACTGTTTGCACCACCCAGGGACCTGCCCACAGTAGCCGGTCCATAAATATGGATGGAACAAGTGCCGTAATAATGAGGGGACAGTTGACTGATCCGTGATGGTACTGAGGCACCTAGTAAACTAGTCAGCACTTGGAAAGTTCAATCACAAGTCCCCCCGCCCTGTTGTGCCTTCCAGAGGCTGGCGTTGGCCTGGGGATCGGCCTGTGCAGTGTCCCCTGCTTCCAGTGCATCTCGGGTATCTTCGTTCACACTCTCTCTCCAGGGTCTGTGGCGCATCTGGATGGACGGCTCCGGTATGTCCTTGTTTCTGTTTTTGGAAAGACCTCTGATTTACAGCAGAGGGAAGGATCACCTTAGAATGTCAGGAGCTTGCTTTGGAGATGAGATATTTAGAATGAATGATCCAGACGAGGCTCAGAGCCTTGTTCTTCCAAGCATGGTTCCTGGAACAGTAGCATCAACATCACCTGGGGGCTTGTTAGAAATGCAGAATCTCAGGCCCTGCCCCAGACCTGCTGATTCAGAATCTGTATTCTAAGAAAGCCTCTGCAGCCCTGTAAGGTGATTTGTATGCACATTACAGTTTAAGAAACACTGTCTCAGAAAATACAAATCCAAAACAGAAAACAAGAGGTAAACACATTTTAATTCAGATTTAGCTAATCTGGAATTTATAGTGACAGAAATAGGAGCTTCAATAAGGTTTACCTGTGTATTCTTTGTGGGAAAATAAGCTGATTAGCAAATCAGTAGTATAAACACAGTTTCACGGTAGCATAAACAAAATTTTCAGCACTCCAGATATATTTCTTTACAAATAGCTTCTAAGGGAAGTACAAATCTGAATTTTCTGTTCAATAAAGTATATTTCACAGGGATCTGGATTTTATAACAACATTTCATCCCAGTTTAACTTATTATACTTTGCAGTCCTACGTTCACATTTAGTAAAGATACATGTTCTCTTATTGGGTTTGGGTTTTGCTAAATCAGGAGAGTTTTGCCATGTTTTTTAAAGGTTTTCCTATAATTGCAATATATGCAAGGGCAAATCCTGCTTAGGTGGTGTCTTGATGGAACTTCTGAATTAGAGATGGGTTTGTTGCTGTCATCTGCAGGAGGGTGACAATTAATTTACTGAGCCACTGTGCTATTGTTTTGAACATAATTGCAGGGTCCGAGTGATTATCTTAGTCTTAAATGCTCTCAGGCAGAGAGTGCTTCCTTCTAGGCCTACAGCTGGGTAGCAATTATTTTGGAAGTTTCTACTTTCTTTGGAATTTGGTGCTACGGGACAGTGGTCATCAGTTACAGCCATGAAAATGTGTACTTTCTTACCAACAGTGAAGATGGACTGGACTCAGTAGAAATGTAGAAGAAGGAGTACCAGTGGAAGGAACAGTGAGATGAAGATCAAGAGACCTGAGTTCTAATCCTGGTCCTGCCAATAACCAGTTAGGCCAGGGGTTGGCAAATACGGTTCTCAGGCCCACCACTTGTGCTTGTAAATAAAGGTTTATTGGAACATAGCCTTGCTATTTGTTTACATATTGTCTATGGCTGCTTTCATGCTACAATGGTAGAGTTGAGTAGTTGTGATAGAAATCATATGGCCCACAGAGCCTGAAGGTTTACTGTTTGGCCCATTATAGAAAATGTTTGCCAGCTCCTGAGTTAGGTGATACCAGAGAGGTCATTTCACCCGTTGTACCTCAGTTTCCATATCTATGAAACAAGGATTCTGCAAGCCTTCCATGTATCAATTGAATCTTGCTTTTCTACTTCATTTTTTTTCTCTCTAGGTTGCTAGTACCTTCTTTCCTACCTTGCAACTAGAATGAACTCCATAGCCTTCTCTCCTAATTTCTTCCCGTGAGAACCTCAACTCTTTCCTGCCCAGTTATTCCTTCTTTACCTTTTAATATGTCCATTCAGTCCTTCCTCCTAGCTGTTCTCTATATGAGAACACTGAGGCCCAAAGAAAGGTAGGAAGTGGTTAGTTAGAGGTTTTGTGATAATTGTTCAGCTGAATGTTATTTCTTGATTTCAGTTTCTCTTCCTGTTCAACACCAGCCCCTCAATCTTGGTTGGGCATAGTTAAATGCGGAAGGGAGGAGGAAGGCTAAAGACAAACTTTGGCTAATGTTGACCCACTTTTGGGTCTGAAATATCTCCATTTTGTGGGTCATGCAGTGAGAGATGCCCCCCTTTGGTCTGCTCTGTTCTGAGTTTCAGTCAGGTACCTAAGGATGGACTAATGGGATTTTTAGGTCTCACCAAACAGCCCAGTCAGGAGGGGGCCCCCAGGGGAGTGATAGTTGAAATGTCACATTGATTAGCTTGCTGATGGCTTCCTAATGATGCTTTTGCAGGTGTGGCGATGAGATTGTGGAGATCAGTGATTCCCCAGTGCACTGCATGACGCTCAATGAAGTCTACGAGATTCTGAGTCACTGCAGTCCTGGCCCCATCCCCATCATTGTTAGCCGACATCCAGACCCACAGGTAACACGCCACTGGGTCATCCTCTCCTTCCCAGGGTCACTCTTTCAGTACTAAAATTAGAATGAGGAATGAATGAATGGCTAGGTTTGGGCCTGAATTTCCAAGTACCTGTTCCAAGTTTCGCAGCAGAGGTTCATTGACAAACTCCTAGACATTAGAGGCAATTAGCATTCACTTAGGGAAGTTTTGTAGCTGGTTACAGCTGCAGGACAGGAAAATATGGACCTGGGATCCCTGCTAGCAGATACAATAGGGTCATTCATCCATTCATCTTTTACAAATACCCACTAAGTGCAGATCTGGAGCTAGGCACTGAGGGTACAGAAATAAGCTAGTTCATAGTACACAGTCCTGTCCTCTAGAAGCTAATGGTCTCCTCAGAGAGACTGACATAGAAATAGTTGCAATACTGAGTGGTAAACGCTGTGCAAACCCAGAGGGGGACACAGAATGGAGGGTTTATAAAGCAAGTTTTCACCAGGCAGAGAATTTGAGAAAGGTCATTCTAGGCAGTGGGAACACAAAGTTCAAAGTTATGGAGTCATGAAGGGGACTGATGGAAGGGGAGTGGTCAGTTTTGTGTCACTGGAATGTAGGGTACTGGGTGAGAGTGATTAAAAACTGAGGTTGGTGAGACATTGGGGTTACCTGGTGAAGTGCTGTAAACAGGATGCTAAATAGTTTGTATTTTATGTTGTGGGGAGTGAGGAGCTAGGGGAGACCTGTAGCCATAGATGTAACATATTCAGATTTTTTTTTTTTTAACTTGTGGAGGACGGAATGGAGTGGCTGTAGCCTGGAGGTTGTGAGAGAAGTTGGGAAGAGGAAGGAAAGAGATGATGAGGGTCTGAACTAAACAGTAGATATGAGAAGAGGAAGGGACAACACGAGACAACAATTGGGAGGAACAAACAGTATCTGTTGGCTGATTAGCTCTGGGTAACAGAGAGGGAGGAGCCTAGGTTGATTGGAGTATATGTACATTAAAAGACTGAGTGATGGTAACACCACCAACAGAAAAGAGAATAAAATAGGAGGAACAGGCTTGGGAGAGAAGAGAATGATCTCAGTGTGGGATACAATGAGATTGAGGACCTATGGGATCTTCAAGTGCAGATGTTCAGAAGGCAGTTTGATTTAGGGCTGATAATGGCTGGTAAAAGAGATCCGGGTTGGAGGTAGACTTGGGAGTTGAAGCCATGAGTACAGGAGATGTTCCATTTATTTAATCCTTAGTATGTGCCAGGCATATTTGCCAAAGATGTGACATATACAGTCACATTCATTTGTTGTACAACCCTGTGAAGTCAGTGTGATTATTTCCTCCACTTCACAGATGAGGAAACTGAGATTTAGAGAGAAGAAGGAACTTACCATTGGAGGAGATAAAAAAAAAAAAACCCATTCCATCAAGTCAACTCCACCCATGTGTGTCTGATACCAAATCCTATGCTCTTAGCTGAGTCCCAGATTCCCAGAGAAAAGAGGACAGAGTGTGGAATAATGGGGAAGGTCAACATATACGTGATGTAATGGAATTAAACCCCATCCCATTCAATTATCCAGCACTGAAGATAAACACACTAGAGAAAAGCAGGCTTCTTCCTTAAGGTAAACAAATGATTAGCCTGGGCAATGTATGAAACAAAAGGAGTCTCAATTAATTTAATAGCTTTTGCTGCTCTTGACTAACCCGTTACCATCGAGTCGATTCCAACTATGGCAACCATATAGGAGAGAGTAGAACTGCCTCACAGGGTTTCCAAGAATATAATCTTTATGGAAGTAGATTGCTGCATCTTTATCCTGTTGAGCAGCTGATGGGTTCAAACTGCTGACCTTTTGCTTAGCAGCCAAGCGCTTAACCACTGCGCAACCAGGGCTTGCTTTTAACTAGTATGGTGAAAAAGTTGTGGAGTAAGAGTCAGGAGTTGGCGCATACACCTTAGTTCCTGACCTTGAGGAGTTTACATTTTGGCCGGAGAGATGGGATACACACAGAGAGGCCACAGGAGGTGAGGGCCATGGGACAAGGGAGCCAGGTCATAAAGGACAGGTAGGGTTTGGTGCAGCAGGAAAGAGTTGGCAAAGGCACTCCAGCAGGGTAGCCCTAGTAGGCACAAGCAGTGCGGAGCAGAGAAGAGAGAGCCCAGGTCTTGGTATCAGACTGTCTGGCTCATGTCCAGCTCTGCTACTTATCTTTGGCAACCTTGGACAATTCATCCAACCTCTCAGAGTCTCTGGTTCCTCAACTCTGAAATGGGGAATCGTTTTTATATTACAGGACTTCTATTGATGGTAACTCTCATCTACTGAGCGTTTACCATGTGCCAGGTTTTGTGCTTAGCACTTCACATGATTTAAAAAAAAAAAAAAAACTGTGAAGTAGGTTCTATTACTAGTAGTATTTTACAGAAGAAGAAATTGAGGCTTAGAAGTAACTTGTCTAAGGGTACACAACTGGCAAGTGGATAAACTGGAATGTGAACAGAGTCTAACTCTGAAGTTCATACTCTAAACTACTACTCTAAAGTGATTTATGACCTGTGAGTCACAACACACACAGTGTAATGGTGATGGTTACGACATTGTTATTGATGATGATGATGTGATGATAGAATTGCTGAGAATGGAATAGCCTTCAGAGGTAAACCATGAAGTGGTTCAGTTTGCCTAGAATTTTGCAGTAAGTAGTGGGGAGAAGGTTGAAGAGTTGAGAGGGGCCACCTTGGGAACCCCTTTATTGACAGACTTTGGAATTATCTTGATGATAGTGGGGAACCATGGATTTCCAAGGTATTTTGTCAGCAATTTGCGGAATGTGTTGGAAGGGAAGAAACTAGAATTCAGGGGCCCAGCTTGGGAATGGGTTCAGTACTTAGAACCTGATGCAGAGTCCTAGGACTAGGAGTTTCCGCTCTTAGTTTGAGGAGGTGATGTGATGTTTTCTAGGTCTCTGAACAGCAACTCAAAGAAGCTGTGGCCCAGGCTGTGGAGAACATCAAGTTTGGAAAGGAGAGGCATCAGTGGAGCCTGGAAGGTAAGGGAAATGGTGAACTTTGACTTGAAATATCTTTGCTTTATTAGAGAGCTTAGAGTTTAGCCATTAACTCACTTCATAGCCCAAGGATATATAACAACAGTCATCAAAGCATGGTATGTAGAAAAGAGTTGAAATACAGAAGACCACCAGTTAAATTTGGCTCATATTTTTGCTTTGTTTGGGTGTTACAAAATTTTACAAACATCTTAAACGTAAATCATTTTAGTAGAACAGGAACTCTCCAGTCCTCTATTGGCCCCACCATTCCCTTGTGCCATTCACACAAGCGCCCCTGTAGGCATTTGAGTTTGCCACTCCAGTATCTAATCAAGAACCCTGGTGGTGCAATGGTTAAGCTCTTGGCTGCTAACAGAAAGGTTGATAGTTCGAACCCACCCAGCGGCTCCATGGGAGAAAGACCTGGTGATCTTCTTCTGAAGATTACAGGCTAGAAAATCCTATAGGGCAGTTCTACTCTGTCATATGGGGTTGTGATGAGTCAGAATCGACTACAACACCTAACAACAACAGTCTCTAATCACAAAACGTTTAGAAATAATAATATCTTGTAATATAATATGTAACATTTATGGAGTTTCTTATTATGTGTCAGACTGTATGCTAAATTCTTTTCATGCATTATTTCACTGAATTGTTACATCAAATTTCTATGTACATTTTATAGGAAAAAGTGAGGCTCTGAGAGGCTGCCTTACCCAAAGTCACACCACTTAGCAAGCAGAGGAACTGGGATAGGAACCCAGGCAGGATGACTCCAGAGACCGCACTCTCACTACCTCAGTGCCCAGTCATTGGCCATTGGCCATTGGCCATATCATCACTAGAACATCCATATGGTAGAACAATGTGCAACCATTAGCAGTGATATTGACAACGAGGTTACATGGTCTGGGAGGAATGTTCAGAGAAAAGAGCAGAACACAACATTTTATTCAACTATTTCCAATCCTTTCCACCTACCCAACATGCACATACTCAAGAAAAAGGTGACAAAGAAATTCGCCAAAATTTTGACGGTTGTAATCTCTTGTTGATAGGACTGCAGGTGAATTTTGTACTTTAAGTCCTCCCTTTTTGTTGCTGAGTTTTCTTTAATGAGGATGTGTTATTTTATAACCAGGAAAAAGCAACAAGATTTGGATTAAGGGCTTGGCTGGCCTTGGCTCTCTCCTAAGGCAGGTGCTACTCCCATGGGGCCCCCTGGCTGTCCCAGCCTCGGAGGGTGAGGTGGGATTTGGGCAAAAGACTGGGATTCAATCTGCTCCTATTCCCTTGAGCTATGATTTGACAGTTTACCACCAGGAAGAAGGGCTTCTCAAGGATAGGTAGACGGCTGTAGTGCTGGAAAGGATGGGGAGGGGACTGAAAACTGGTAAGAAGGGTTGGGTAGGGAGGGGAAGAGAAAGAGGGATTATGGCTGAAAAGCAGTGATTTTTATGGCTTCACTTCACCCTTAGCTGGAGAGAAATAATCACCTCTTGGTACAAGGTTCAAAGAGCCTTCACGGATATTCTCTCTCTCTTTAACATTGACCTTTGTCTTAGTCGTCTACTGCTGCTATAACAGAAATACCACAAGCGGATGGCCTTAACAAAGAGAAGTTTATTCTCTCACAGTCTAGTAGGCTACAAGACCAGATTCAGGGCATCAGCTCCAGGAGAAGGCTTTCTCTCTCTGTTGGCTCTGGAGGAAGGTCCTCCTGATGCATCAGTCTTCCCTTGGTCTGGGAGCATCTCAGTGCAGGAACCTCAGGTCCAAAGGATGTGCTCTGCTCCTGGCGCTGCTTTCTTGGTGGTATGAGGTTCCCATGTCTCTCTGCTCACTTCTCTTTTTTATATCTCAAGAGAGATTGGTTTAAGACACTGTCTAATCTTGTAGGTCTCATCAATATAACTGCTGCTAATCCATCTTATTACATCATAGTAATAGCATTTACAACACGTAGGGAAATCACATCAGATGATAAAATGGTAGATAATCATACAATACTGGGAATTATGGCCCAGCCAAATCGATACACACATTTTTGGGGGGACATAATTCAATCCATCACAACTCTCAAAATAAGCGCAGGGACATTGGAACTATTATGCCTATCTTACAGTGGAGAAAAAGCAGGTTGTAGGTTGGGTTCCCCAGGAAGCCGACTCTGAGATGGAGTTTAGTGCACAGGATATTTATTAGAGAGTGTCCTTGGGATCACTGGGCAGGGGGAGGGGTGGAGCTGAGATGCAGGCCCAGTACCTTCAACAAACTCTTGGAGCTCTGGAGCTAAAATGGCCCATTACAGTTGTCCCGAGTTGGGCAGAAATGGTTGGGGTTTTATAACCCCATCTCCATCGGTCATTGGATATAGGCTGCTTCCCACAGCTAGGACAGCAAGCCCTTCCTTGATGGACGATCTGGATGGAGCATCTCCATGCCCATCCCATGGAAACTCAGAAAGGTTGAATGATTTCCCCAAACCTAGAGTCACACAGCTTGTCAAAGACCAAACCCAAGAATGTCGAGCTCCAAATCCAAAGTGAGCTCAGATGAGACGCAGACAGTTAGGTGTGCGGTGTGCTGCCCGTGGCCATCCTAAACAAAGCTAGGGGTGTTTTTAATCTTCCAAAGCTCAGCTGTAGAGGCCCCCTTGTGCTTCACATGCAGGTGTCAAAAGGCTGGAGAGCAGTTGGCACGGGCGGCCGACCTTAGAGAAGGAGCGAGAGAAGAACTCAGCACCCCCACAGCGCAGGGCTCAGAAGGTCATGGTCCGCTCCAGCAGTGACAGCAGCTACATGTCTGGGTCCCCAGGGGGGAGTCCCTGCAGTGGTGGCGGTGAACAGCAGCCCCCTGACCTGGAAGTCAGCACCCACAGTGCCAGCCTGCACCTTGGGCAGGAGACCCAGGTGCTGCCCTCGGCAGCATCCAGATTGCCTCAGGGGAGCCCACCCCACCCTGGGAGCCAGGACAGCAACCCACCGCTGAGACTGAAGAAATCCTTTGAAATTTTGGTGAGAAAGCCCACATCCTCCAAGCCCAAGCCTCCACCCAGAAAATACTTTAAAAGTGACAGCGACCCCCAGAAGAGTTTGGAAGAGAGGGACAACTCCATATGCCCTTCTGGGCACACCTTGCCCACCTGTGGCCAGGTAAGAGCATGTGCCGGATGGGTTGATTATTCTCCTGAGCCAAGCACAGTTGTTCTTGAATATTCGCAGCAGTGTTAGGAGTGGCAGAACGAAGGTTCTCCTGCTCTGTGTTAAATTATCAGAGAGACGAGTCTCAGCTCAAGCTCAGGGCTGAAAGCACAAGATAGTTTTGAAGCTTGGCAGATCCAAAATTGAAGTCCCAGAGCTACTATTGGCTTCTGGGTTCCCATCCACAACGGACTGGAATTTAAGGCCCTTTTTGTGGGAGTCACTCCTTGGGCTCACCATGATGGAGCACTTCCAGAACTCCTGTAGGCCCATTCCATGAGGGGATAGGGGTAGGATCCTTGGCACATGGATCTTCAAGCCTCTGTTTCCTGGGAGGCTTTTGGTGTAAAACCAAAAAAACCAAGCCCCTTATCGTTGAGTCAGTTCTGATTTCAGCGACCCCATGTGTTGCAGAGTAGAACTGCTCCATAGGGTTTTCTTGGCTGTAATCTTTATGGAAACAGATCGCCAAGACTTTCTTGTGTGGCATTGCTGGATGGGTTTGAATCGTCAACCTTTAGGTTAGTAAACCTGAAAAACCAAACCTATTGCCCTCGAGTCGATTCCAACTCATAGAGACCATATAGAATGGAGTAGAACTGCCCCATAGGGTTTCTAAGGAGCTGATGGTGGATCTGAACTGCCAACCTTTTGTTTAGCAGCCAGGTTCTTAACTACTATGCCACCAGGGCTCCAGTTAGTCAAGTGCAAATCATTTGTGCCACCCAGGAACCTAAAAGGGGACAAGAGCTGCCTATTCTCTTTCATAAGTGAGTAGACTGATGTGTTTGTGAGAAACTGGCTCCTCTTTCTTTCCCAGTTTGCTTTGCCTTCTCACTTCCTTAGCTGTGAAGCTTTGGGGGAAAACCCAATGTATCTAAACCTCAGTTTCCTTATCTGTTAGTTGGGGCTAAGTTTAGTGAACGCACAAAGGGCTGCTGTGAGGATTAAATTTAACCACTTATAGTGCCTAACAGAACCTCAGGCACGATAGCGTTAGTGAGTGTGATTATTCCTCCACTGCGCCCCTGAAACAGCTCGTTTTCTTCCTCAGCTGCCCAATAACATCTCCTTAAAGAAATGCAGACTGATGGCCCGGCAGTTGCCATCTCTTGACCAATTTTTATGCCCAGGCACTGTGCTAAGCATGTTATGTACATTGCCTCAATTAATCCTTACAACGGCCTGGAGGTGAGGGTCCCAATTATGTAGAGGGAACCGAGTAACTTGCTCAGGTTCTCATCTCCATTGAGTAGCAGAGGCAGAATTTAAACCAGGCTGGTCTGAAATTGGAGGCCGGGTGGAGCAAGCGGTTTGCAATCAATCAGCGGCTAACCTAAAGATGGGAGGCTTCGTGGAAGAAAGGCCTGGCAATCTGCTTTCATTAAGATTACAGCTGAGAAAAGCCTATGGAGCAGTTCTACTTTGTAACGCATGGGGTCGCCACAAGTCAGAACTAACTTGACAGCAAAGAGTTGAGTTTTGTTTGTTTGGTTGGTTGGTTGGTTTCAAATCTCTCACTGTTAACCACCGTGCTAGGCTGCCTTTCACATCCTTACCCCAGCACCTGTTTCACTGGATAGGTAGGTTTTAGAGCCTCTGGAAATTCCCTCTAACAACCAACCTCAGGAGGGGTAAGAAAGCCCGGGGTGATGGTGGTGGGTGGTTGGGGGAGGGGGTGTTGAGTGCAGAGGGGTGAAAGCGAAGTGAGAAGAGGAGGAAGCCAGGTTACTAAAAAGGAAGTACAGTTGTGCAGATCACTGGCAGAATGTGGCTGATTTAGCAATACGTGATGGAGGTGTGGAGGTGGATCTGTCCCCCCTCCCTTCCCCCTTTAAGCAAAGATTTCCTTTTCTCTAGGGTCCAAGACCTTTGAGTCCAGAAGTGCAAATTAGGACTGAGCAGGCTGAGAAGGGGGAGTGGAGTTGCCAGTACAGGTCTGTCCGGCCCATAGGCCTGTCCTGGGTGAAGCCCATGAGCCACTGTGCCAGGCTGGGCCATATTTAGGGCAGGGTATATCCCCAAGTGAGGGCTGGAGGAGGAAGTGAGATTTCTTCAGGGAAGGCCAGGCAAGGAGTATCCATGCGGGAGAGGGGGCATCCTCACATGCGGCCTTGCCTCATCTGTGGCACCTGCCCTGTGTGAATCCACTGTTCCCTCCTGCATTCTGCCCCAGCTCTGCAGCTCCAAGGCCACACTGCAGCGGCTCGCCTCTGTCAACTGTAGCCCACATGGCCAACAGACCCTTCTCCTACAGCCTTTTCTAGAAAGTACACCAACACAACACAATTGTACTGGACGTTGGCGGTCACAGAGAAGAGATTACAGCACAACAGAAAACAGGAAGTGATTTACTTGACATCGCTGTTCTTAAAACTTCCTTGGCCATTCCTGGGAGTTTCTCGTTGGGTGTTTTTCTCCTTGATTGCAGTGTACCATCATGCTTTAAGATCAGCCAATCAATCTCTCTGTTTCTCTCTCTCTATATATGTGTATCTATTTATCTACAGTAAAACCTGTGAAAGCCAGAACCTGTGTAAGGTGGAAACCTGTCAGAGAAGGAAAACTCAAATATTTTCCACTGAAAGGAATGACAGAAAAGTGATAAGACCGCACACCATCAAAGACAGAAAATTTGCAAGACCTGGAATAGAAAGGCAGCCTCGGCGAGTTCCGGCTCTCACAGGTTTCACTGTATCTCTCTTTCTCCCATCTTTTCTCTCCATGGTCCTAAGACTCTTCCCAAACCACTAATGGACGACCCCAAATCTTTCCCATCTTCTGTAGCTCAAGTGGGCTTAACCTCCACAACCAAAATTACCTCCGGAATATTTTCTTCAACAAAAGAGCAGTTCTCTGTCTTCTAGAAAATCAACTCAAACTATCACCTGTGTTTAAAATACACTTTTCCCTTCCCTGCTAAATCCACATCTCTGTTCCTCTTTCCTTCTTTCTGCTCTCTTCTCTCTCCCTTGTCCACCAAACACAGTAACAACAAATACTACTCAGGGAAAAATTTGAGCAAAACCAAACTTATTTTAGGGATTCATTTAAAACGACCTTCTATGAAAAGGATGCTACTTCAGATGTGCTGATTAAAAGACAAAATACATTTGCGTCTGTTCCAAAATGCAAAGATGCATCGACTACTGTTTAGTACAAGAGTGCCTGCCTATAAAAGTGTTACTATCAAAGTGCTACCAATCCACGGATGGAGACAGATGTCACCTTAGAGCTCACTCAGACTTGAGACACGTGTCATTTTTTCTGTATGATGTGAGTCTTACATCCCGTCTACCTGATGTATTAAGTTTCTAACGTCTTGGCCAGCCCTTGATTTTCAAAGGACTGTTGCAAGAAGTCCAATGATTCCTTTGAGCTGGTTAACATCTCCACAGTTCCAAAATGCTCTCCTAAAGTTCAGTTTTCTCATAGCAAACCCGGGCTGAGGCAGAGGACACTTGGAAACGTGTTGTGAATACGTTTTTAACTTTTGTAGACCTTTCACTTCCAGGGAATGCTTATTGACAAGGTAGACATTGAAATCTCAGGCCAAGGACACCTGTCGCTTCTCTTTTAGTCTCCAATGCTGCTTTGTTACTCTTTCCTGCCTTTTCTGGAAGGAAGCCTGCAGCCTTGTCAGAGCCCATCATTACCCCTGGCTCTGAACTGAAGGTAAGCAACATGCAGGCAGCCGCAGCCTAGGGAAGTCTTCCATAGGAAAGATCAAATATAGGAGGATCATTTTGCTGATGTCTCATGCTTTTTTTTTTTTTTTCCTGAGTAGCTATCATGCTTATTCCTTCCTCTGTGTATGTATATGTCTCTGGAATGCTGTTCTTCTACCTCTCTGCCTGGAAAATTCTTACTTTTTGTTCAAGGACCAGTAAAAAAGCAGCTCTCTAGGGAAGCCTTTTCCACCTCGCTGGGCAGAACTAGGGCTCCCTCCTTCCTGTGGGCTCTGACAGCATCTGATTCACCCTACATTATAATCCAAACTCTATTAGAATATTATATAACTATTTGGTGCCTGGTCTATCTCTGTTCTAGGCTGTTCTATGAAGGATCCTGAGACTGACTGCTTCTAGGCTCGGGGGAAGGAGGGGACAATTCTGCACTAGATTGATAATGTCACCCTGGGTGTTGCAAAGGGGGGTGAGGGCGCAGATGCTTAGTATTTGTCATCCTTTGCAGCGTGCTTACTAAATATTAAATAGCAACATCAAAAGCTATTGACATGATTTTCTTTTGAGTGTTCTAACCCAACCTTAATAAAGACAAGACAGAACTCTCTTTGCCTCTGGTTTCAATGCTGCTCTTGTGCCCTCCAGGGGAGCTTAGTTAGCCAGGATTCAGATGTAAAGAAAGCAGTGCCAGCCCCCTGTGACATCCCCCAGCCTCTTTTCCCCATCACAAAGAGCCCAGGATCTTCACATACGCCAACAGTGAGTGCCCACGCTCCAGACACCAGCTTGTTGGAAGTGAAGGGGTGCTCTGGGCCTCCAGGAGGTGCTGACTTTGCAGTACTAGTGCATGAAGACAGTGCAGAGGAGGAAAGGGCTCTCTTCAAAATGCTGTGGATGAACGTCTCATCTAAGCGGCTTCATATTTGCCCTCCAGCCCCAATGAAAGTAAGCCTTGCCTTCTCACAGCGGAAGGCTACAGTTTTGACACAGTTTTGCTTCCTGTTTACACCACAGGAAGCAAGGGAGCTGTTGCTACCCCAGCCACGGCAGGAAGACGCAGCAGGGGGATCCTCCTGCACCCTTGCCTGCTGCCCAGGACCCGGAGTTGCCCTGCAGACTACGGCCTCCACAGAGGGCGAGCCAGGCAGAAGAGTTAGTCCAGGTAGGCTTTCATTTAGATCTTTCAGAAAAAAGGGCCTCTGGACAAAGGTCCGGTGGTAAGGTAAGAACATGAGTTTGGCCTGAGAACTGGGGTGTTCTGCACTGACAAGATGGCTGGGCTGATGAGCACTCAGGGGTCCCCAGGAGCTGTGGGCAGCAGGACAGGAGAGGTGCTGCCAGGGGGTCTAGTGGGAAACTGTCTGGCTGGGTGTGTGATACTGTGGTGGTGGCGGTGGGGGGATGACCTTTTAATGAGGGAATACAGTTCAACCCAGGAAGTCAACTGCAGGTTGGAGCCCTTGGGGAGAGGTCCAAAGATACTCTCACCCACCATCTTGGGAAGCTGCCTGTAGCATGTTGCATTCAGCATTTCCAAGTCTGAGAATACTGTGTCAGGAAAGCATGAAGAGCATTTTCTTAGTGGTCACCACCTCCATGAGGTGGATAGAAACGGTTGTCCAGATGGTACATCTGGAAATGCTAAGACATGAGTTGAATGTCTAGTGGTTTGGTAGAAAGAGCATAGGCTTTGGAGTTAAGAAGACCAGGCTAGGATACCTGGCTCTGCCTTTCACTAACTTTGTGATTCTGGGCAACTTACTTCGCCTTCTGAGCCTCCATTCACTCATGAGCAAGGTATGGAAAATCACGTAGAACCCCAACATATGATTCAGTTCAGCAAGCACATGTTAAATACTGGCTTCATGAGGTCCTATGCTAGATGCTGGAGAAAGAGAGAAAAAGAGAGAGAGACCAGCTCCTGACATCAAGGAATTCACAGCAGAGGCAGAGAATTAAATATTTAAGCTATAAACCACATGTCAGTTTGAGGAATGTTATATAAAAAGTATATGAACAGCTCTTGGAGAGCTATGTGACATCACGAATGGAAAGATCTGGAGCATCTCACCCAGAGCAGGTGCCCAACTAATGGAGGCTTCCCCTTCTTCACTCTCTCTGCCGTTAGTCGTCCTAACTGAGCAGTGTACCAGGGGATGCCTTGATGTTCTACTGACAAGGGCTCCTTACTCCAGTTTGCAAAGGGCTTGCCTTGAGAACCCCTGGCTCCTGATTCTCACAACAGCCTCTTGAAGCAGAGCGTTTTATAAATGCAGAAACAGACTCACTTGCCAAAGTCCTGGAGTGAGTAATAACCACCCAGTTCTTTTGGATGGTATAGAGCTTCTCTTTGATATCATCAAGTCTAATGCTCTGCAGTTTGCTTCCCTTGAGGCCTGGCATTGAGACATGGGACAGAAAGGATCAGTCCCCCATAAACTGGGTTGCATTCCCGTACCAAACAGTCTCCAAAGTCCAGAGCCAGAGCAGTATACTGTTAACCAGGGAAGGTCAGACCTAGGGGCCATGGCAGAGCCACACATAAACTTGGATTGTTGACTGTGCCGGGCTCAGGGCCACCTCCCTCTGTCCCGGGAAAGAGAGTTGGGGTGGTCTCCTCTACCTGCTCAGATGGGATGTTGGCTCAATGCTGCCCTCCAAGAAAGACCCCCATGTGCTTCCCCCTGCAGTGAAGGGTTGAACTTGGTAGAGCCTGCCTGGGGTCCTGGGAGCCTCATAGAGAAGATGTACGTTACAATTGCCTGTGGAGCTTCTCGAACGCCCAAGACCCAGGCTGCACCTCAGGTGAATTGAATCAGAATCTCATGGGTTGGAGCCAATATTTTTAAAGCTCCCCAGATTCCAGTGTGCAGCCATGGTTGAGAATCACTGTCACAGAGAGCTTCTTTCCTTTGTAACCTTCCCATAAGCTCTTTAGGTACGGAAAACACTCCTTTGTTGAGCAAGCTGGTTAACTACCTGCGTGTAGAGAGAGTAGCAGAGAGTAGCAGAGTCCCTGGGAGATGAAAATGGTTAAGCACGTCCGTCAGGTAATAGCACTTGGGACACACTCAGCTGGGGACCCACCACTTCTGCTAATCTCTTCCTCTAGAATCCTTGCTATTCAGCTTTAAACTTCGGAAGACAAATCACCATAACCTGTGATACACAGCTTTTGCCTTGTTTCTGCTCTCTAGCACACCAAACATCCCCAATAAAACACCCACTGCTCAAGAGGCAGGCTCGGATGGACTATAGCCTTGACGCCACAGCCGAAGACCCTTGGATTAGAATTTCTGACTGCATCAAAAACTTATTTAGCCCCATTATGAGTGAGAGCCATGGCCACATGCTGCTACAGCCCAATGTCCACTTGGGTGAAGAAGATGGGACGCAGGGTCACCCAGATGGGGCCCTGCCAAAGCTGGACACTGCCAATGGTGCTCCCAAAGTTTACAAGACAGCAGACAACAGCACTGTGAAGAAAGGTCCTCCTGTGGCCCCCAAGCCTGCCTGGTTTCGCCAAAGCTTGAAAGGTTTGCGGAATCGTGCTCCAGACCTCAAAAGGCTGCCCAGCGCAGCCTCGTCCACCCAGCCAACGCCTGCAGCCAGGGAGCACTCCGGGCCTCACCTGCGGGCCTCCTCCTCCATCAAGCAGAGAATCAGCTCTTTTGAAACCTTTGGCTCCTCTCAGCTTCCCGATAGAGCAGCCCAGAGACTGAGCCTCCAGGCCCCCATAGGAGAGGCAGCAAAACCTTCTGGAAAGCAAGAGGGAGGATGGGTTTCTGGCCTCTTTAGGCAAGGGGCTCCATCCACTAGTCAGCGTCAGCAGTCAGAGAAAGAGCAGCTGCCCCTGGCACCTCCCACGGCCTCAGAGGCCAGCGACCCCGGTGTGTCTGAGTCCCCTCCACCAGGGCTGCAGCCCACTCAGAAGACTCTCCCCACTGACCCAGACCCTCTCCTGAGGCTGCTGTCAGCACAGACTGAGGATTCACAAGGCCCCGTTGTCAAGACCCTGGGCCAGCGGGCACGGAGCTTCCCTCTGACCAGGACCCAGTCCTGTGAGGTGAGGCCATCAGATGAAAAGACCAATCGACTCTACTCCATCAGCAGCCAAGTGTCGTCAGCTGTCATGAAGTCTTTGCTTTGCCTTCCATCTTCAGTCTCCTGTGGCCAGACCCCCTGCAGCCCCAAGGAAGGGGCACCTACAACGCCATCGTCCAATGAAGACCCAGCAGCAAATAGTTCTGCTGAAACACCTGCCTCGGACACGGGGTTCTCGCTCAAGTGAGTGTCCTCGCCAGAGTTTCTCTTCGTCTCTCTCATTTTTCTTTCTTTTATAATCCTATATATCTTTCTAAGAAGCCCTGGCGGTGCAGTGGTTGAGAGTTCCGCTGCTAACGAAAGGTCGGTGGTTCGAACCCACCAGCCGCTCTGAGAGAGAAAGATGTGATAGTTTGCTTCCATAAAGATTTATAGTCTTGGAAACCCTAAGGGGCAGTTCTACTGTGTCCTGTAGGGTCTGTATGAGTCAGAATCAACTTGACAGCATTGGGTTGGGTTTTTTTTTTTAGAGTATCTTTTAAAAATTTCCCAGATATACTGGTTACAATATTGCTTCACCTGTTCTTTTACATGTGTATTCGTGTCTGAGAGGAGTCCCCGGGTGTTGCAAATGGCTAAGCGCTCGACTAGTAGCCAAAAGATTGGTGGTTCGAATCCACCCAGAGGCACCTCAGAAGACAGGCCTGGCCATCTGCTTTGAAAAGGTCACAGCCTATGGAGTGCAGATCTATTCTGACACACATGAGGTCACCATGAGTCCATTATGCTTTTTGGCTGAGAGCCTCTTCCACGGTTGGAACTGGGAGGCTCACCACTAGAATTTACTGCTGTGGGGACCCCTTCACTTTTCAGCAGTAAACACCTATCAATCAAAGAGAGGAATAATTCGCTATTACTGAAACCACAAGTTTCATGCAAAATATGAAGTGTAGCTGGAAAAAACAGCTACAAATACCAAGATGGAGGGCATCGGTGGTTCAGTGGTAGAATTCTTGCCTTCCTTGTGGGAGACCCGGCTTTAATTCCAAGCGAAGGCACCTTATACAAGGCCACCATCTGCCTGGTAGTGGAGGGTTGTGTGTTGCTATGATGCTGAACACGTTTCAGCAGAGCTTCCAGACTAAGATGGACTAAGAAGAAAGGCCTGGCAATCTACTTCCGAAAATCAGGCAATGAAACCTGATGGATCACAATGGTCCAATCTGCAACTGATCATGAGGATGGTGCAGGACCGGGCAGTGTTTCCCGTTGTGCATGGGGTTTCCATGAGTAGGGGGTTGACTCAACGGCAGCTAACAACGACAACATGCCAAGATGAGTTCAGAGGAAAAAGAAGACCAGGTGCACGCCAAGTGGGCGCCATTTGTAGTTGCTAGGGGCTGTGAAAGATGGCAGAGGTAAGAGTGTATCTCAAAGGGCAGCTGCCTCAGTGGCAGGGTATATACCCTTTATGTCAAACTGGGGGCTTTGGCTGTGTCCTGACTGTGGCATTAGTGCTTGTTGTTAGTTGCCATTGAGTTGGCTCTGACTCATGGTGACCCCATATATACCGGAACAAAATATTGCCTGGTCCTGTGCCACCTTCACAATCATTGGTATGCTTGAGTCCATTGTTATGGCCACTGTGTATTTTGAGTGCCTTCCAGCCTGGGGCTCATCTTCAGCACTATATTAAACAGTATTCTGTAGTAATCCATAGGATTTTCGTTAGTTAATACTCGGAAGGAGGTCACCAGCTCTTTCTTTCTTGCCTATCTTAGTCTGGAAACTCTGCTGAAACCTGTCCACCATGGGTGACCTTCTTGGTATTTGAAATGCTGGTGGCATAGCTTCCAGCATCACAGCAACAAGTTAGTCACCACAGTACAACAAATGAACAGATGAGTGGTGGTGGCATTAGTGCAGAGGTATCCAAAGCATTAGATGCCTTTTGTGGTGAAGTGCTGAGGTCTAGAACGTGGACTTTGGAGTTAGATACACAATGATCTGTAATTTTGAATCCTGGATCTTAGCGTTTCATAGCTGTGTGGCCATCAATAAGTTATTTACTCTCTCTAAGCCCCGATTTCTAATCTCTATAGTGGATGAATGTCAGTATCCACTCATAGCTTTGTTGCTTCAAATAATAGAATGCACATTAAGTGCTTAGCACCATGCCTGGAATAGAGTAATTTTGCAATAAATGTGAGCTTTTGTTAATATTATTATTTGTACTGTGTGATGTTTCTCCCTATGAAAGCCTTTCAGAGCTGAGAGAATACACAGAGGGCCTGACGGAGCCCAAGGAAGCCGATGACTGGAGCCACAGTTCCCCTCAGTCCGGCCAATCTGTTATCTCTCTGCTGAATTCAGAGGAATTGAAGAAGCTCATAGAGGAAGTGAAGGTTCTGGATGAAGCGATGTTAAAGGTAGGTTTCGTTTGTCAGTATTTGCCAGGGACCAAGGCCTGATGATGGTCTTTGTGGTCACATCAATAGGGCCAGTGGGGAGCAGTTTGAGTAGCCCTGTGCTCCTTGAGGCTCAAGGAGGCAGCTCCAAGGGGTTAACGCCAGACCCAGGTTATGTCCTTCCTGTGGTAGAGGACACTGTGACCTTGGGCCACAGTAAGATCTTGCATTTGAAGGGAGTTTTTATTGCTTTCAATACATTGATTTACTGCATCTTTTTAACAATAAATGAGAAAGGTGAGGCTCAGGGACCAAAGTGCTTGGTCACAGGGTCTGTTTCCTGTTTGCAGGTTCAGTGCTATTTCCATACCCTCTGGCCTGCCTGCCTGGCATAAGCGTACTGCGAGCTTCCGTACTGGAGCACATGCTGGCCATTGTGGACAGCGTGGGTTATGAAAACTCTCACCACAGTGCTTTTATTTTGTCTGCTGTACACTGAGGTGACTGATCCCAGTTCTCACCAAGATGACTGACCCCAGGTCTCAGGGGCCCCTGTGTTTCAGCCAAGTCATTCTGAAAGTCCTACTTCCGATATGGTTCCTGAGCACGACCCACATGTGGGTGGAGAGGAAGCAGCTGGGGAGAGCTGGGGCCTAGCATGCAGAAGAGTGCAGGCTCATGGGCCTTGCACCCCCTGGGCTTCTCAGGGTCCACATAGGCATTTAAATCTGGATCATGCAGTTTGAGATGAAAACACAGAAACCTTCCATCTCTACACTAGAAGGCGTGGTAGCTGGAATCCTCACGTCAGGGATGTGGTGAAGCCTCGTGGACACAGTGCCCCTGGGAGCACTTCCTCCTCGGTGGCTCCCACTCTTCTCACCTGTACACTGAGCTCATCACCCCCAGGGCCTTATTCAGCTGAAATGAAATAATGGAGGCAAAAGAGTTGTGTCAGTAACCAAGAGCTGTCCTGCCTAGGGTCTTATTTGGAGAGCAGTTGCTTTTAAACTTAACAAGAGTCTCCCACAGGGCAAGTAACCCGATACTTGAGTCAAAGTTGGGAGATTTGGGCTAGTGCTGGGGGAGGGGGCAGTGAAGTACATTCCTCCCTCTGAGTCTTGAGGACTCCATGTCAAAGGATCTCAGAACCACCTGCAAGCCAGGTGCTCTAATGGCATCTGAGAATGTGAATTCTTGGACTTCAATTTACCCCCTAGAGCCAGGCTGCGACTGGTGGTGGGAGAACCACGAGGACCTGCAGATGGATTTTATTATTATAAAGCCAGAATCAAAACCTGGATTTCTAGTTTCTCTCTTTTTAAGGGGACCAATCTGGTAGTGCTGCATTCCTATGTAGCAGCTGCCCTTTCTGCAGTTCCCATCACTCTAAGAGTCTTGCACCTGCCCCTTTTGCTCACCGAAGCTATCTTCCTGGCCCCTGTAGGCATGTCAGCTTGAGACCCTAGCTCTAAACTAGAGTGGAAGCCTCTGACTGTAGATAATAAGAGAGCTGTCCAGACTGGGAAGCACTGTGCCCTGGGTGTGCTCGTGAGTGTGTGGCCAGCTGGGATGCACTGTGTGCTGGGCGTGCTCATGAGTGGGTGTCCAGGCTGGGACGTGCTGTGCGCCGGGTGTGCTCGTGAGTGGGTGTCCAGGCTGGGACGTGCTGTGTGCTGGGTGTGCTCGTGAGTGGGTGTCCAGGCGAGACGTCAGCTGGGCTCCGTTAGTGCTACTGCTGAGCCCTGGGAGGAACAGGGAGAGAGAAGTATCCACTTACTTCTCCAAAACGGTGCTGACCCCTGGCTTTGTCGGTCCAAAGTCCGACAACTTCACCTCATCCCGCTAAGGTCTGGCATGGTAGAGATGAGTTTGCCCAGACATTGGGGTTTCCCCATGACTAAACGGCTCCTAGTACTGTCTGTCTATAGGGGTAGGGATGTGGATGGAATGACTATGAGAGGGAAAGAATAATGTTTGCTTATTTACATACAATTTTTTCTTCTAAGCTTCCCACGACTCCTGAAATTATAATCTTCCCTCTACAGATGATGAAACTGAAGTTTGAGTTGATGTGGTTTGGAGCATGGCCAAGCCGGGATTTGAGATCCAATCAGTCTGACTTTAGAACGTTTTTTGAATTGTTCACACTGTTGCATTAAGATGTTTTGCGCACACACACACACACACACACACACACACACACACACTTTTCTTTTTTTTCTTCTGCAGCAATTGGACAGCATCCATGTCACCATATTGCACAAGGAGGAAGGGGCCGGCCTTGGGTTCAGCTTGGCAGGAGGTGTGGATCTAGAAAACAAGGTGATCACGGTGAGTGGCCCAGCAACGGGCGCAGGTCAGAGCCAGGGACTGTGGCCCGAGGAGGGGACACTGGCCAGGAAGAGGCCTTGTGCTGAGGAACAGAAGATGCAGGACACCAAGCCACATGAGAACTGTGACACGAAGCCACTAGGGAAGCTGTCAGGACCCATCTTTTTCAAGAAGAATGTTCTGCTCTCCCCACCTTGATGATCTGCTAGTAGTGGTCACCTGTGTGACTCCATATTTGATTTCCATCACAGTCCTACATTTAACAAACAACTTTAATATGCCAAAAGAAATCCAGATCATCTGTGGAGCTTTAAAAAAAAAAAAATTACAGATGGCTAAGCCTCATAGCAGAACTATTGAATCAGAACCTTGGGAGGCTGAGGCCCTAATGCTTGCATTTTTGAAGGTTCTGGCAAGACATTTACAAATTTCAAACCGTATTTTATTCAATGTTATGTCTACTCCTTTGAAAATATAGATCAGTAACCTGTTCACTATTAAACATTTAGGCAAGAAGGTTTATGACCACAGGGGCACTTTTGGAAGGCTTTACGGTCAGAATTCAAAACCTGGCTGTGATATGTCGGAACAGAACACCGGCATAGAAAGGGGCCTCACCTGGATAGAAAGCGGCCTCACCTGCATAGAAAACGGCCTTGCTCGTATAGAAAGGGACTTAACCTGATAGAAAGGCTCCTCACCTGCATAGGAAGGGTCCTCAGCTGAATATAAAGGGGACTTGAGAAATCAGGGTCCTGTAAAACCAGAAAACCAGTTGCTGAGTCAACTCCGACTCACGGTGACCCCATGTGTGTCAGAGTAGAGCTGTGATCCATAGGGTTTTCAATGGCTGGTTTTTTGGAAGTAGATTGCCAGGCCTTTCTTATGAGGCACCTCAGGGTGGACTTGAACCTCCAACCCTTCAGTTAGCAGCAGAGCACTTAACTGTTTGCACTATCCAGGGAAGAGGCTGCTTTCCTGGTTTTACCCACTTGGAGAACAAAAATGCTCAGCTGGACAATTGTGAAGCTGACCTGATGGTTGGTTCAGAGCAGTGGGGCCCACACTGGTGGGAACAGGCAGCACTTACTGCATTCACAGGATACACATCCAGAGGCTTCAGATCTTGTGGTCCAGTCCCCCGATGGCTTAGCACCTACTAGAGGCTGGGTAGGTGTGGGGAGGGGAGCAGATCTGGATCCATCTGCATCTTTTCCTGTGGACCCGCTTTATCTGGCCCACGCCATCTGATCAGCATTGGCTGCTGCCCTCTGCCCTCTGCTTCAGGTCCCGCAGACCTGACCCAGGTGTTTTCTAGTCATCGCATCTTCACAGGCCAAGCCGAGACATGGCTGCCCCCTCTCTCTAAAGCTGAGTGCACTCTTGGCCTCCCACGGCAATGCTGTCCCAGTTTAATCCTTCAGGTGGGCTGTGTTGGGCACTTTTTAATTCCCTTGTCCAGCTGAAAACAAGTCCCCCGGTTCACAACATCGCCCAGCGTAAAACACACCACAGTCTCTTGCAGTAGTGAGTTGGGTCACTTCAGAGTCAACAGTGCGTGAGCAGCAACTTCTCTGATCTCTTTCCAAGTTTTCTACCATGAATGGGCACATAAAACCAGTAAGTACCTCTTTCTGTCACTAACCAGGTAGCGGAGTATTATAAAGAGGTTCCCAATGTTGTAGTTCACTTTCCATTTGAAGAGAAGGAAGGAAAGCGTGAATATAGGAGTAGCACTTTGGATCTTTTGCTTGCCCTTGAGTAGAGATTTCTCTCCACTGCATGTGGCTGTCCACCTCTGAGCCAGGGCAGCCACTCAAAAACCAGGAAGACGCAATGTATGTTGTCCGAGCAGATGCACTAGAACTTCCTCTTTCTCCTTCCGTGTTTGGGCACATTTGTTCCTTTCAGATTCGTTAAAAAGGAACTAACAGTGAGCACCACCCATGACTAAGTGCCATGCTGGGCACTCATTGGCGTGTTGTCTAAATTAATCTTTCTGACGCCTTGGGGTGGGGAATTGGTGGTGTTTCTGTTCGTTTTATAGATGAGAGAGACAGATTTGAGATTCAGAGCAGAGGTTCTGCTTTATACGTGGGCCTCATAGCCTGGGACCTGAGACCACATCTGACCACATGATAGAAGTTCCCCAACACCAAAACAATGTAGAGAAACAAGTTAGAGGCTTAGTCACATTTTAGGAATTGCCCATGCCCACGCACACAATCGTTGAATTGCGTGCGTGAGAATTTGCCTGTCTTCGTTTGCTAGTGCTGCTGGAGCACAGATACCACAGTGCATGGCTTTAAAGAGCAGAGGTTTATTGTCTCAGAGTTCTAGAGGCTAAAAGTCCCAATCAGAGTCTTGGCCTTGCTGATTCCTTCCTTGTTGGTAGCCCCGGGCTTTCTGTGGTTCCCTGGCGTGTAGACAATTCTCACGTGGCATCTGTCTCTGTGTCCAATCTGCTCTTCTTATAACTCACTGCTATGACCACATCAACGTAACAAAGGAAAAACCTCTATTTCCAAACAGGATCACATCCACAGGTATAAGGGCCAAGAATTCAACACATATTTTGGAAGGGCACAATTCAACCCATAACTTTGCCTCATTAAAGAAGCTGAAGCAAAGTTATGCAATTGTTTTGTCTTAAGCATCTTACAGAAAGGGGACCATTTTCTTTGGCCTAAAAATCCTCTAGATTTGACTAACTGGAGATTTCTGGGTCCTGACTTCCTTTGGTTTGCTCAGGTTCACCGAGTGTTCCCAAACGGGTTGGCCGCCCAGGAAGGGACTATTCAGAAGGGCAACGAGGTCCTGTCCATCAACGGGAAGTCTCTCAAAGGGGCCACGCACACCGATGCCCTGGCCATCCTCCGCCAAGCTCGGGACCCACGGCAAGCTGTAATTGTCACAAGGAAGCCAGCTTTGGAGGACACGCCTGACCTGAACTCCTCCACCGACTCTGCAGCCTCAATCTCTGTAGCCAGTGATGCTTCTGTAGACTCTAGTAAGTTCTCCCAGCTCACGGGAGCCCTGTGGGCCACATTGCCTTTGGCCACTTGGGGCCAGTCTTGGTGGGGCTGCTCAGTAATCTGCGGCCCCAGGAACGGGTGGGCTGCCTAGTGTGTTGCCTAAGATGTGTGTATCTGCAAGTGTCTGCATATGAATGCGTGTGTATATGTGAGTAAGCATGTGCATATGTGTGTATGCATGCATATACATGTGCATACGTGTGTATACATGTACACATACAAGTGCAGCCAGCTGTATCAGCCAGGGCTTGCATGATGCCCAGGGTGTCATGGCCTGGGAGAGGAGAGGATCCCTGACCAAGCGCCTGTCTTTCTCAGCAGCGGAGGTCTGCACGGTGACCCTGGAGAAGACCTCTGCAGGGCTGGGCTTCAGCCTGGAAGGAGGAAAGGGCTCACTCCACGGAGACAAGCCTCTCACCATTAACAGGATATTCAAAGGTGTGTGTGCGTCTGGCTCTGCATTCTCTCCACTTGTGGGTAGCTGGCCAGGCTCCCAAACGGCTTCTGAGCGCCCTCTAGGCCACACTGATTGCCCATAACCCCGTGTCCTCCTGAGAGGCATGCAGGCCTTCTTACGGCTCAATTCTGCTTTTTCTCCCCTTTCTCCTTGGCTCAAACATCTACTTAATCCCTTTATTTTGCTGAATCCTTTTAAGCAGCTGCGCTCCGGGCTTGGTACAGTTTAGCCAGACTGAGACTAGGGCAAGGCAAGTGAGGCAGTGGCCTGGGGTGTAAAATTTAAAGGGGTGTCCGGTTACTCAGTAATCAAGATAAGTAATATCTCAATGCAATATTTAAAAAAGATCAGAATCAATGCCCCAAACTCCATGGTGAACAACATATCAAAGTTGTAAATAAAGACAGCATCTGACCTTGCATTGCACTACTTAGCCTCACTCACCTCACCCTAATCCCGGACCCGTTGGGTCCTGCCTTGATCTGAAATTTTGATATTTTGTTTGAAATCATGGATTGGGGTGCAAGACAACCTGGCGTGGGGATCCCTGGTACCTGTGAAAACCATGAATGAACTGCAGCTAACACATAAAACCCTCTGCTGCTCCTAAGCTGGAAGCCCCCGAGCCACAGAGCAAGGAGTTGTGGAGGGAGGAGCACCGGACAGGGAGTCAGGTGGTCTGGGTTCTAGTCCCAGCTCTGCCTCTGACTTGCCGAATGGCCCTTCCCTTCCACTTCTGAGGTCCTCATCTGTCAAAGAGGCTGTGTGTCTCTGAGGGCTCTTAGTACTGAGGCCCAAAGGGCATTCTGGCTCTGCTCCCTATCCTTGAGCCCCCGCGGCTGGTGGCTTTTGTTCGAGGAGGCTCCATGGCACTGCTGAAGCCTGGAGGCTGGACGGAGGCTCATCTGGTGGTTCCCCTGTGTCTTAGTTTCCTAGGCCTGCCATAACCATGTGCCACAATATGGGCATCTTAAAACAACAGAAATTTGTTTTCTTGCAGTGCTAGGGGCTGGAAGTCTGAATTCAGGGTGGCAGCAGGGCCATGCTCTCTCTGAAGCCTCCAGGGGAGGATCCTTCCTTGCCTCTGCCAGCTTCTAGAAGCCAGTGGTGTTCCTTGGCTTGTGGGAGCGTAACTCTAATCATTGCCTCTGTCTTCATATGGCTGAGCTTCCTTTGTCTCCCTGTCTCTACGTATCTTCCTTTTTCGTAAAGACCCCAGTCATGTTGGATTAGGGCCACCTGAATGGCTTTATGTTGACTAATTATATCTGCAGAGACCCTATTTCCAAATAAATCACATTCACAGGTACAGGGGTTAGTACTTCAACTTATATTTTGGGGGGACACAATTCAACTCATAGCACCCGGAATCCATGTTAACTCCAATTTTGGGAAAGACAGTTTTAACTTTTGAAGGCTAACTTGGAATGAACATGGGGTTCAGCGTCAGGAGACCTGGATTCTAGTGTTAGTTCTGCCATTTATGGCAGCATGACCTTGGGTAAGTCCCTTCACCATCCTAGTCCATTTGCTTAAACTGAGATAAGCCTGTCAGCTGCAGAGTGATGTGGTGTTTAGCAATGCAGATCCTGGGGCTGCAAAGTCTGGGTTTACGCTCAAGCCCCATCACTTAGCAGCTCTGAAGATCTGGGCGAGTGACTTGAGTCCTTGGTTTCCTCACCACTCAGAAGGAACACTAAGAGTGTGTACTTCATAGGGTTATTATCATAAACACAAAGCATTTAGCACAGTGCCTGTTATGTAATAATTGCCCAATACCATTTAGCCATATTTTTATTATTATCATTATTGTTATTTTCTGTTCTTAGGCAGTACATGTGAAGATCATATGTCAAACGGATGGGAACCTTTTTCTTTCCATAGAAACAGTAAAACGACACTGTTTTCATGTACAGCTTGAAAGATTGGGAGCCACTTATGATTATGTTCCCCTTTACGCAGGCCCAGGGGCCTTTTCCAGGCCATTCAGAGCCACACACACCATGAAGATCTCCCTAGCTCCCTTCTCTTACAGCTCAGTGCTGATGGCCTAATTAGAAGGGGAGAAAAGGGGTGGGATGCTGGATGGTGTCCAAGGGGACTTTGTGAATGATTCAGTTCCCCAGCATCCTCTGAACCGTGGATGTCTCCCTAGCCAGGCTCTGGCTTGGAGCTGCCTGAAGTCCCCCTCTCCGAGGGACAGCATGGGGTGCTCCTTTCCTAAGGGCCAGAGAGAGCTGGAGCCTGTGCCTCAACTTTCAAGTCACCATTTTATGAGATGCCTCGTTTCAGAACTACCGAGGGGTGGGCACGCTGTTCTCTTCCCAGCTGTCCTGGCTCCTCAGAGACCAAGTGTAGGAAGGAAATTTTTCTGTCGCCCTGTCATCTGTGAAGCCCGTTATCATCTTCTTCTCCCTTACCCCAGGGACAGCCTCGGAGCAGAGTGAGACAGTCCAGCCAGGAGACGAGATCCTACAACTGGCCAGTTCTGCCATGCAAGGCATCACGCGGCTTGAAGCCTGGAATGTCATCAAGGCATTGCCTGATGGACCTGTCACTATTGTCATTAGGAGGAAAAGCCTGCAGTCCAAGGGGACCACAGTCGCTGGAGACCCCTAGGCAGAGCACCAAAGCTGATGCCCGAAGCCCATAGCATGCAGCTCCCCCTAACCTCTGATTCTCAGGGTCTCTGTTACCTCCCACCCAGATGGGGGAAAGCACAGATGTGCTTCCTGGTGGCTG